AAAGTTTTGCAGGTGCTACCGAGACCATTGATGATTCCGTGATGGCGTATGCACTTAGTGCAGAGGCGTACGTGGACAACCTACCTTCGACAATAGCTGGACTGAAGGAGCGAAGCGACTGGTCGGACTGGAAAGATGCCATAGACAGCGAGCTTGACTCATTGCGGAAGAACGGAACATGGGAGCTAGTGCCGAAACCACCAGGCAAGAATATCATCGACAGCAAGTGGGTTTTCAAAGTCAAACGTGATGAAGCTGGAAACGTGGATCGATTCAAGGCACGCCTCGCAGCGAAGGGCTATTCTCAAAGGAAAGGATTCGACTATAATGAAACATATGCTCCTGTGGCGAAGATTACTACTGTTCGGGTGTTGCTTGCAGTGGCGAATCAGGCGCAGTACCATGTGCACCAGATGGATGTGAAGACGGCATTCCTGAACAGCCTGCTGAAGGAAGACATCTATATGCGTCAACCTGAAGGACTGCAGAGCGACAATCCTCAACTAGTATGCCATTTGAAGAAGTCGTTATACGGGTTAAAGCAAGCTCCGAGGAGTTGGAACGAACAGTTCAATTCGTATGTACTGAAGCTCGGATTTCGACGATCAAAATTGGATAGCTGTTTGTATTGGAAGCGACAAGAAAAGACTGTAATGTACATACTATTGTACGTGGATGACATCATCATTGTCTCGAACTCACTGGATTCTGTAGCAGAAATCAAAACGATGTTGACCAAGAATTTCGAAATGACGGACATGGGTGAACTGAAACACTATCTGGGGTTGAAGGTCGAACGAAATTTCAAGACTGGAAGAATGAAGATCAGCCAACCGAAATACATTGCAGACATGTTGAGAAGATTTGGTATGGAGGATTGTAACCCCGTTAGTACCCCAATGGACCCGAATTTGAAGCTGGACACCAACAAGGATGACAACCCAACAACACACCCGTATCGCGAATTGATTGGATGTCTGACCTACTTGACGATATCATCAAGGCCGGACATAAGCGCAGCTGTAAGTTATTTCAGCAGATTTCAAGCTTTCCCTACTGACACCCATTGGAACCACCTGAAACGACTGCTGCGCTACTTGAAAGGGACGATCAATTTTGGTTTAGTCTATCAGCGACGAGAAGAAGGGTTATGCCGATGCCGACTGGGGCAATGATCGAGAGGACAGAAAATCAATTTCCGGGAATGTTTTCCAAGTTTATGGTGCGACGGTATCCTGGAATACAAAGAAGCAAGCAACTGTAGCCCTGTCGTCAACAGAAGCGGAATATGTTTCCCTTAGTCAAGCGATGTGTGAAGCAATATGGCTGCGTAACTTGCTGTGCGAATTTGGTTCTACGTTCGAGCATCCCATACCAATATTTGAAGATAATCAATCTTGCATTCGAATAGCTGAGGAGCCCCGAGACCATAGACATATGAAGCACATAGATATTCGATACAACTTCATGCGCGAGAAGATTCAAGAAGGTGCTTTCAAGATAATGTACGTACCGACCAATGAGCAAGCAGCTGATAGATTCACGAAGGCCTTGCCAAGAGGACCGTTCACATTTCTTCGAGAAAAGCTGGGATTTTTCGGTTGAGCGGGGATGTTGAGTAGCAACCGATCAACTCTGTCCAAACAACAAGCATGTAGCAACCCATGAAGATTCGTGTCACTAATTTATTCATTCCTTCACAAACCTTCGTTCAATAAAGAAGTTCTTTTCCAATTGCTCTGCCTAGTTTATTACCAGAATCTACAATTGCGACGAAACTGGAGTCAATTGTGTGCCGAAGCATGAGAAGGTTTTAGCTCCTAAAGCCGTTCGTCAAGTTGGTAAACTGGCATCTGCGGAACGTGGAAGAAATATCACTACCTTGTTTTGGATGAGTGCAATCGGACAGTACATTCCGCCTTTGTTTGTCTTTCCAAGGCATAACATGAATGCTAGGCTTATGATTAACGCCCCCGCACAAAGCAAAGGAGTTGCTCAGCCAAAAAGTTGGATGAATGGTGATTTGTTTTTACAGTGGCTTGAACATTTCGTAAATTTTTCGCATCCTACAAAACAATCACCTGTTCTTCTAATACTTGATGGTCACAGCAGCCAGAAGACGTTGGAAGTGATTAACTTTTGTAGAGAACATTTTGTTCATGTTCTAAGTCTTCCGCCACACACAAGTCACAAGCTGCAACCACTCGACCGGACTTTCATGAAACCGTTCAAGAATGCTTACCATGAACGCTGTGAAGTGTGGATGCGGAAAAATGCAGGAGCACGGACTATCAGACTACGATATTACTGGCCTCGTAGGTGAGGCATACGTGAAGGTAGCACGAACAGATCTTGCAGTTTCGGGTTTCCAGTGTACGGGAATTCATCCTTTCAATAAACACATTTTCTCGGACATCGGACTTCCTATCATGTGATTTTACAAACATTCCGTTAGAAGAGTCTGCAACTGGTCCAAAAGAAATCTTCGTAAAAGATGCTGCTGTCAATCCAACAACCTGTTCTGCTACTTGTGCTACCGCAAGCATTCAAAAACTGTCACCACTACCCGATGCCGTCCAGAAGCGTTCGGAATCTAGGAAGCGGAAGTCAGAAAAAAGCACAGTTTTGACACATCACTTTCCATCAGAACGCTGGTAGAGGAAAAGGAAAAAGAAAAGAGAATTAAGGAGTCCATGCAAGATCTTCGTAAAGAGCGGAATCAAACCAAAAGATTATGCGAAAGCAACAAAGAAAACCACTTGGCAAAAAAACCTCTTAAGCGCGTTTGCCTAGTCTGCCAGAAATCGGATAAGGAAGGCTTCATAAGATGCTCAACGTGCAAAGACTGGACCCACAAGACTTGCGCAGGAATATTAAAGCGTCCCTTGGCCTTTTTGTGCCGATTGTGTAATCTTTTACAAAGCAGACCTTCGTGTCCGAGCATAGAGGACACTACGTCCGGCCATAGGGGCACTTTTCGTATGATTTGATTCCCACACAAATTGTTACCCATCATTAACTTCAAATTGCAAAGGGTTTATTTTCTCGCTTGTTTTTTTTTACTTACGATATTGTTTCTCTTTAAATAAATGGGAAAGTAAACACCTGAAATCCAATACTTTTTAAGTTATTGCTGAAAAACAAAAACTGTCCGAGCATAGAGGACTTCCCCCTAATAATTTACACATTAAGGTTAAATTATTCCATTTATGACAAATAATAAAACCAGTGGCGCTGCTTTAAGGACTGTTTACACTTAGGCTAGTTCACTAGCTCCACCAGCTCAACCAACTAGCACAAATTTCAGTTGTTCTTGAAATCTCATGCTAGACACTGACTACTTTTTAGTACAATTCTAGTAGCGGCGCCGGTGGTGTAGTGGTAAGCGTGATTATCTCTCACCCCAGCAGGCCTGGGTTCAATCCCAGTCGGCGCTGGGATGTACTGAGGCATAACATCTCTGATCACGCCTTTCTTCGGAAGGGAGATAAAACCGTTGGTTCCCTGTTCATGAGTTGATGGGTCGATAGGTAGGGTAGCATTGGTGCTCTAATCAAGGAAAAAAAAGTACAGTAGTTCTAGCAGACAAACAGACACTCATAAGTTGTTCATCGAACAAGCATTTAACGGTCAATTTGAAAATATATCAGTTGGTAGTACTGCCACCTGTAGCGCGCATAGTAAATTCCCTTGCGTTTGACGTTTACACACTACCGCCATCTGTTCAGCGTACTACCCACCACAGTGTACTCAACAGATGGCGGTAATGTTTTAGCAACGATGTTTTAAAATGAGAAATATCATGTTATGTCTGTTTGTCTGTGGTTCTAGTATACTAGCAAATGAGCACAGATGTAAACACCACATTAACCTCAATCTACCTTGCAATGGGATAGGATATTGAGTAACTAGAAGCTTATATGACGTATATATTATACGTGACGTTACAATGGTGCTGACAGGTTTATCAGTTTTTAAAACGAAATAAGCACTGTCAAACTAAAGTAATTATTGCAATTTGGAAAATGCGTTCAATTCCCTAAAATAATAAATTGATCAGAATTAAAGATTTGAAAACCTCAAAACGGTTTGGTGAGTGTGTAAATGTCAAATCATAATTTCCTGTTGTTCAATTCTTATAGGAAATGTATCGTAGTTTCCAAATCAGCCATAATATGTTAGGGCTACTTTTATTTTTTTCTTCAGTTACAGTCAACAAAAACAGGTAAAAACGCGGTAGAATGTCATGCTTTTTTCAACCAAAAATTTCAGCATTCATCTGATCTTAAAAATTGGTGCACAGGTAAAAAGTGACGCCTCTGGTCTCATGGAGGGACTTTGTGAGGGAGCGAGCTGTCAATTTATTAATTTAGTGTCAAAAAGCGAAGCTCTTTCCGATGATGTTTAATAACCGGTATATTTTTTCAAAATTTTAAGAATCCAATTTTAAGATGCAGGCAACAAATGCCCAACCCTAATTTTGTTTTTCAATTTTTTCAGGCACATAATATGTTGCGTAATATAAAAAAATGACGCCATACGCACTAAGCCAGACGAACGTTTTCCAACGTTTGTAATCGCGCGCGCGACAGTAAAGGTAACAATGGCGCGAAACCAGTTATTTGTTTACCAACAAAGCGCTATCCCAGATCAAACGTATTTAGGTGCTATCCTGTGAATAAATAGATCTACGCGCATCGTCGAAATTGTTTAAACCTACGTAGCCGTGGCAGGTACACACACGGAATACAGAACCTAGCAGCTACCCGCATCTCCCGCTTCCGACAAAACGATGCCCAAACAATCGGTTGTAAAAAACGAACAAAATGGCGCCGTAACAAACGACGAACTAAAAACAGGCATCAATGTGTAGCATCGAACGCGCGCGCTAATCCCTAACCCCAAATTTCCTATGTTGCACTTTTCACTCTCTCCCACTGCAGCGCATCGGTCTACGCTTTACCCGTCCCGCTCTAACGCAAGGACAACGGGAAACCTACCTCAGCTGTCAGGTATTCCAGAATAGCGGCGGAGTAGACGGCTGCCGTTGCTCCGACGCGCCCATGGCTGGTCGTACGGTTCTTCAGGTGTCGATGAATTCTGCCGACCGGGAACTACAAATATATAGCAAAACAAAAACAACCGTTATCACACTACTACTGCCCGGTAAATTTCCACTCTTCCGCCAAAGACGCACTTTGGCGCCAAATTTTCCCTCCTCACTGCTGCCAAACCGGCAAATAAACTCACCTGAAGCCCGGCGCGGGCCGACCGGGAAACTGCTTTGGCTTTCGCTTTTCCGGAATCCTTACCAGCCTTTCCTCCAGCCTGTTTACGAAATTATCCGAACAAAAAAACGGTTAGCAGCCGGCAACAAAAATCGCCATTTCATCATCATCATCACCCACCGCAAGCGAAGTCCGCCATCGCGGACCACGAAAATATAGGTTATCTTTCAAGGCTGGCTCTTTCTGTGCGCCTTTGCCGATTTTTCCTCTCCACACAAGAGCGGAATTCATCAATCTCAATGCGGAGGAAAATCCAAGCAAGCTAGGTAAATCCTATCGATTTTCCTTCCCAGAGCAGCAACTGGAGAAACGTCAGAAATTTTCTTCCTGTATTTTCCATTTTACGACCGAGCTTCGCTTCATCCATCTGCAAGAGCGAAGCCCCGAAAAATCCAAGCGGCGTCGGACGCCTGCAGTTTCGGCTCCCCCCAGAAGAGCCAGTTTCTCGAAGAATAACCTCCATTTCGGCTGGAAAATTACGTACCATTTTTGCTATCTAGATATTCCTTTTCGGCTACGTCGACTTGGTAATAAAAATGATTATCGCAGGGACACAAAAATCCACTTCTCTCTTGTAAACACGCACACTTCTTTGGAAAATGGCTGCTGCTGATGTTTCAGTCCGGAACTGCCGCTCACTACGGAACAAATCACACACCGTCAACTGCACTAAACGAGAAAAGATACAATACTGAAACGAAGTTCAAGACAAATTATTACCGAACCGCCGCAACCGAAGGCGAAAGTTTAGTTCGTTTGGGCGGGAGAGAACGCCACAACGGTTTCGGCTCGGCTTCGGTGAGTGCGGAGAAATTGCTCGGAGTTTCTACCTAAAACAAGAGAATTTCTCCAATTGTCGCGAGCGCTTTTGTGGGGACTTCGAATCGGGTAACTCTGGACTGAAAATGTCAACCTGTACTAAATGGAGGCATGAGTACTAACTATTGGAAGATTGCCGTAAAAGGTCGACGCAGATGTCGCCACTGCATGATGATGGTAATGATGACAGACTGCATATAAAATTCGTGAAAATTAGCATTAAATCATAATTTTCATCAAGCCTGCGTAATATCCTTCCAATATAACATTCGAATTGAAGAAGAAAATATTTTCACGATCAGACTGATGAGCATCTTTGACTTTTCCAGATATAATTCCATAAGATATATTCATTTCATTTCACAGCTCCATCAATGCTGCATCGTACATATGATCTAAACAGAAGTAAACCCTAATAAACTGGTACGATACACTAACGATATCATAGATGATTCGACCATACCACATAAAGTTGAGATGATATCCCGAATTGGTGGTTAGGCGCTTCTTATGGTTATGCGGGAATTGCTCAATTATTCAAAATAAAGATGATTTGTCATCTTGTTATCAGTTTATAAACCATCGACCACCATTTTATAGTATGGTGCGTGTTGAGTAAATCAAGTTCCGTTCCGTTGCGTTTTCCATCGAAAATTGTGAATATCAATATGTTTACCTAAAAAAGGCCAAAATGAACATTTATTGAAAATTGCCGTCCTATACAACCATTTCTCCATAATCACCAGCATGATACAATCTTTCCTAAGTAAATTCACTTAATTTCCACTTTCATCCTAGTGGAAATCGCACATATTCACCATTTTCCGAAAAATGCTGCTGCCCAGGAGGTAACCTCTAGATGTGGGTGCAAAATTGTTATGCATAATTTTCCATGAAAACATCTCCGATCCATACCGAAATAATAACAGTTAGTTTGCAAACACGGTTTCTTACACGATTCAAGCAAAAGTATCCACCGGAAATTATTAGTTTTTCTTTATGTACCGATTTGCCCCAAAAATCGTCTGTTTTACTTGGAGAATTTGGAAACTATCCTCCTTCTAGTAGTTCTCACTTCGAAATCTAGGTGGCGAAAAGTTTCACTGCAAGACGCCAATAGATGCTACACTGAATCGAATACCATGGTAATTGCTAATAAAAAAAGCCTCTTCGGTACATGGGGAACTGCAAAGCAAGACCAACAATCAATACGAAACTAACGATTTTAAATTGGCTAATCACTTTAGTAGCCTATTGTTCCCAAGCAAACGATGAACGTACCCTATTCTAGTTGAAATTCTATTACTACACTATGTTTGTTTTGATTCGCTATGAAAGTTTGACAGATAACATCAGGGGTGTGTGGATTCATGCAGAACATGCAGGGGTGAGTGAAATAGCTTGAGACTGCTTGGGACCGTTGTTCTGGTACTGAGTGAGCCAAAAATAATAATGATTTTCTTCGGGACCCAGTGGTCTTAGAGTTACCTCTATGGTACTACCAACAATCAATACGAAACTAACGATTTTAAATTGGCTCACTACTTGACTAGCCTATTGGTCCCAAGCAAACGATTAACGTACCCCATTCTAGTCGAAATTCTACTACTACACAATGTTTGTTTTGATTCGCTATGAAAGTCTGACAGATAAAATGAGGGGTTAGTGGATTTTCGAGGGGTGAATCGATTGGCTTGGGACCGAAGAGAGTACTAGAGCTGAGCCAAAAAGTTGAGCACGTTATTTCGGGACCTTCTAGTCTTAGAATTACCTCTATGGTACTACCAAAGATGAATACTAAGATGAAACTGTCAGAAGAAAAACATTCTATTTTAGTGTCCTCTTTCACGATCCTTTTCATCCAATGAATACCCCCCCGTATTCAAGGTAATTTTGTGGTTTTGCTGCCCCCTCGGTAGAGATGAAATTCTGCGCTCATTTTTATCAAAACAATCACACCAAAATCAGAGATGTCCAATTTTTTAATTACTCGATTAACAACTAATCGATTTATTTTTGTTCGCTGTGCTGCCATTTTTCCAGCTATGAGCCCGTAAAAAAAAGAACCATGGAGATACAATGAAATGTATTGTAACCATACAATAGAATTTATTGTATTTACAATAAATCGCATTCTCCACAACGATAAAATAACAATAGAATGTATTGTTTCCACAATAGAATCTATAGTAAATGTGAAAATATACAATAGAACAAGGGGGTTGTTATGTATCTTAACCATACGAAAAATCACTATTTCCCGAACAAACTTGAGCCAATTACCATTAATTGTATTGCTGTTCTATTGTTGAAAACTCTTACTATATGGAATGTATTGTACATTTATTGTAATAACAATATGTTAAAATTTCTTGTACAATATACGCACAATAAGATCGATTGTTGGGCATAGATTTGGATGTAATTGTATTTTATTTTATGGTAATTGCATGGTTATTTTTTTCCGGGAGTGCTGCACATGTTTGAAACGATCGGTGATGATCCTCTGGAGATGTTAATGCTTATATCGGCATGATATAACCGATTACAAATATTTTACTTTTCGGTTCGTTAATCGATTAATCGATTTTTCGAATGAAAATCGGCCATCACTAGATTAATGTGAAACGTCATTTCAAATATATGGACCGTACATAAATAATTCAGTGCCAACATTTCAAAGGGGCGTAATTGCTTTTGTAAACAATGGCTTTAGACGTCGATTTCTCGCAAATGCAAACCCACCTCTCCAAATTACAAATGCTAGCTGATACATGAAACATACCTCTGCGTGCTGGTGTCATTCATTTTCATGAGTGAGCTTTCATTTGCGAGAAATTGACGACTAAAGCCATTGTTTACAAATGCAATTACGCCCCTTTGAAATGTTGGCACTGAATTATACAATTTGAAAGGGACCGGGGCTCATCACAAATTACGTCCACACGGTAACTGAAATAAACACGAGTGTTCACCGGCTGGTACTACCAACTGAGATACTTTCAAATTGACCGTTAAATGCTTGTTCGATGAACAACTTATGAGTGCTATGTCTGTTTGTCTGTGATATTACGTTACATAAGCTATCTTCTTATGACATTTCACTCATAAAAGTCATTTAGTGTGATGATTGAAATAACTTAGAAATAAATTGTGTAGTACGTACGCAGTAAAAGTTGTGAGTGTAATATACATACATGATGAGAATCGAGGGCGATCAACTTCATAAATCAGCTGAATAGTAAATACACACTTCGGAAAATACACAAAAATACGGATATTCGTACACGCTGAAACTAAAATACCCTAATAAAAATACTCAAAAATACCTCGAAAATACTTTGTACGCGAAAAATACATATCACAATGAATTTAATACACTTTAATACAAAATACACAAAACTTAAAAATACTTAAATACGACAAAATACAAAATACACCTTTTCAAGTCAGGTGGATGAATCGAAAATACTCAAGTTGACGGTCCCTCGATGAGAATATAGTAAATGACTATTTTGATTTCATTTGACATGCAGAAGTTTTTGTTAAGGATACTTGATTAGGTGAGTGAACAGGTTATAATATTCGTTGTATTAGTACGATTCGATGGTCGATGTGTAAAAGCAGGTTAGTACGAAAAGTATTATCTGTTTCTTTGGTAACAAAACACGCCGAAAACGACGCAGAAATCATCGCCATACAAATTCCTATGGCGACGATTTTTGCGTCGTTTTCGGCGTGTTTTGTTACCAAAGAAACAGATAATACTTAATTCAAATATCCCAAAACTCATTGCTTACTGAACTGTCACACTGGTTGTTTGCAGAATCTATGTTCAAGGCAAGTGATGTGCAAAGAAGAAGACAAAAAAAAGTCAATATTAAATTGATGAATTTAAGCAAAGGTAAAACTTGGTAAAACTGGCCATGCGACACCTAGTTTCAGATTTGCAATTACAAAACTGATGATGTACTAAAAAATATTCCATACGATTTGACAGGTAGCAAAACGTCATTATCATTTTTCACATAATTCCCATCTGTTGGTCGACCGTCACTTAAATTCATCGATTGCAAATGAAAATGTTCTGAATTTTTTTATCGAAACAAAAATCTAAGGCCGTTTGCAATGCTGAGTTTCAAGATTGTTTTAAACTACTCGTCAATTCTATTATTTGAAACTGTCAAAAATAAAACTGCAACACGATCAGCGCAACGCACAGTTCTAAAAGCTGTTTGTAATCATCAAGTTTCATAAACTTTACTGTCCTCTATGAAGCTCTCCGTTTTTTGTTTGTGAAGCTCTTCGAAACGTCTTTAAACACATACAAAGAAATTTGAAACAGAGTTCCATTCGTGTTTCAAACTCGCTCAGAAATAAAACAGAATAGTCGAGCAGTTGCAAATCTGGTGCAAAATAGTGCTCGAATTATGAAACTCCAACTCAACATTGCGAGAGGTGCGTTTCTGTTCTAGTTTCAAATTGAAACAGTCCTTATAAAATACAACAGCATTGCGAACGGCCTAATGAAAAGGATCGATGCAGTGGAATTTTTATCGTGCACGCAGAAAAAACTATCTTCGAAACAAAAATATTTGAGGTAAATTTAAACGTAAACTCAGTTTGTTCTGGCCACAAAAATAAATTAGGTTGATTTCAAACGTATTCCATGTTTGAAGTCATGTGAAATCAATGTTTAAAACAAAAATAATGTTACCTTTATTTTAAAAATATTCTTGTTGAAAACAAACGTATTTGTTTTTGTTTGGTTTGACAGATATGTGTACAAAAATAAATATTTTTATTTTAAACATGCTTCTTATGTTTAAAATAAACATAAATATTTTGAAATTATTTTAATAGTTGTAGATAGTAGTAGATAGAGTCGTCCCCCTCGGTTGATTGGCTATATAAAATATGCGTGGATTCGTGTCCTTGGTATGACGGATAAGTAGATGTCGGTAGTGTTTAACGTATTTTAAATATGGCGTCTTGGGCACGAATTTGAAAGTAGCTTGTAGAATGAGCTGTCACGTCGGTTCATCGGTGGTCAAATTCCGCCTACACTCAAATAATCCACACATTTTTATTGGCGAATTTCCATGTGAAATTCTACATGATTTTCATGTGCCCACACATAAACAGAATCCACTAAGAAGCACACATGAAATTGATGTGTCAAATGAATAGAATGTGTGGTCACTGACTGATGCAAAATTGGAAATTTTTGCTCCACAGTGCTTAAACGGTTTCAAATTGGGTCCTGATTAGTCTCCTAAGATTTGAACTACATTAGTAAGAAACTTTCTTGTCACAAACCATTTCAAGTTTATATGGAAATTACTATGGGAAAACTTATGTTTTTGTTCATATCTTTCTAACAATTTACCACACCACTATACTTTTAAAAATGATAGCAGGGATTGTAGCAAATTTTCTCAGCTACAACTTTGTTCACAACTGCTTTTCAATCAAATGTAAGGAACAAAAGTTATTAACGATTCAAGTCACTGATGTCTTATGATTATGCTCATTCAACTGTTCAGCAAGCAACATTGGTGTTTCTGGTGCGAAGAATAGAGCACAAATATCATGGCTACTATGTCACACTACAGAATAGAGTGTTGCCCACAGAACAGCCGCTTGATCATGCCATAAGTTTATCAATCTCTTAAACAATTAATAACAATTTAATTTGACATTTAACTGAAAAACTATATTGCGCAAAGTTGTAGTTTAGAAAATTTCCCGTAAGAATAGTTATAGACATTTTCGAAAAAGCAATATGGAAAATTTGTAGAAGACAGTGAACAAAAAGTTTGGTTTTCCTATAGTAATTTCCATATAAATTTCGAATAGTTTGTGCCAAGTCAGTTTCTTACCCCATGAGTTTAAATTTTGGGAGGCTTATCAGAACCTGATTTGAAACCGTTTGAGCACCGTGGAGCGAAAATTTCAAATTTTGCATCAGTCTAGTGGTCACACATAGCTGTTATGCCTACACATATGATGTATGTGTCTGACACTTAGATATAATTTGTTATGTGTCCCACACATGAATTTTTGCAATGTGATAAATAAATTATTAATTATTAACAAACAATCTTTGAAATTTTCTTAGTGTACATTTCCATTTAAACGTGAATCAGCACAAGAAGTGTAAGCACCCCATTAGTACTAAAGCTCGCGCATACAAAACTCTCCGCAAAAGCTTCAATTTATCCGCGGATCTCCTCGCTCTCGGCTCCCGCGCCGAGCCGACCGCGCTTCGCATCACACACAGCCAAGCAAAATTTCGTTGTCAAATCAAACAAAACAACCATCAACCATCGATTTGAAATTGCGATACACGGAAAGGGCATCGGCGGAGAGACCTACAACTCTGAAAGCTGTAAAAAGTGGTTGTTGTTTGATATTTTTCATGTTTTGTCCTGTAAACTGATCTCTGCGTCTCGTCACAAGGTACGCAACATTTAAAAGTTAACACTATAAATATTAACACTTTTTGATAAACAGGTATAATTTCAGTTCCGTGTGAAATGGCACCCGTTAAGAAACCCGCCGGTAGCGGACGGAAGAAAGCCGCCAATGGCTATCAGATGCCCGAGCCGGTGCCTCCGGGTACGGTGCTAACCGATATGACCAAGCGCCAATGGAAGGTCGGCCCCTCGATCGGAAGCGGCGGATTCGGTGAAATCTACTGCGCATGTGATGCCAGTTCCGGTGTGAAGAAACCGGACGATTATCCTTATGTTGTGAAGATTGTAAGTCTTTTTTTTTCGTTCAGGACCTGAAATTGGACCAATTGAAGTTTGAGGTTATGTGAGGATTTTGTTTTCGTCCAAAATTCGACAGTGAGCATGCATAAGGGCGAATACGCGATGATCGATTCTCTTCATCAATTTTCTCTTTGCATTGCTACAGCTAAGTGAAACAATTTTCTAGAATTTGTTCAATGCAGAGTAGTAACAGGTTGTATTGTCTATCAAAAACAACAGCAAACGCACCGAGAAACGTTAAATCTAGCGAGTTATTAACAAAAGAGAAAATCGACGAAGAGAATCGATCATCGCGTATATGCCCTTATGCATGCTCACTGTCGAATTGTTGCACGTTCCGTATACTCGCAATTGATCCTAATGATGTTTTTCAGGAGCCCCACGGCAATGGACCCTTGTTTGTGGAGATGCACTTCTACATGCGCAATGCCAAGCAGGACGATGTTGAAAAGTTCAGGAAAGCCCGTGGTTTGAAGCATCTGGGAATGCCTCACTTTGCTGGCAACGGGTCGCATGATCTGCAGAATTTGAAACACCGTTTCTTGGTGATGCCCCGATACAGTACCGATCTGTGGAGTATTTTCTTGCGCAACGAGAAGCGTTTCCCGCTGCACACGGTGTACCGAATAGCATTGCAGATGGTGGATGTTTTGGAGTACATTCACGACTGTACCTATGTTCACGCTGATTTGAAAGGGGCGAATATACTTCTCGGGTTCGGGAAAACGGCCAGCAAGCAGCAACTGTTCTTGGTTGATTTCGGTCTAGCGAGTCACTATACCAGCAAGGACTTTAAACCGGATCCGAAGAAGATGCACAACGGTACCATTGAGTATACTTCACGCGATGCCCACCAGGGAGTTCCAACGATGCGCGGAGATATGGAAATCTTGGCGTATAACGTGGTGCAATGGGTTGGCACTTTGCTCCCATGGGAGGCGGAGAAGCTATTAGCTAGCCCCGTGAAGGTCCAGGAATCAAAGGAAAAACATATGAAGGACGTTAGCGGTTTCATGAAATATTGCTTCAAAAAGGACATTCCTAAGCCCATCCACGAGTACGTAAAATACGTAGCTTCGTTGGAGTACAACAAGAAACCAGACTATGCCAAATGTAGGAAAATGTTCGAATCCGGTCTCAAGGAGTTGAAAAAATCAAACTCTGGAGATTTGGAGTTCGAATCAAAATCGCTGGCTGCTTCACCGTCAAAGAGGAAAATTGTTGAGCCCGATTCGAATGAATCTTCTGGGCCGATGGCTCGTCCTCGTGGTCGGCCTCCGAAGGTCATCAGCACAAGTCCGGACACCACTACGCAAGACGTGGCACCTGTGAAAAGAAAAACGGAAACACCATCCAAGCCCGTCCAGAGGAAGAAGAAACCCACTGTCGCCATCGAATCATCTGAACCAGGACTTAACGGTCACAAAATGTCCACCCCTTCGTCGGGAGTAATATCGACTAAGCTCTCCGCTCAAGAGCAAACCGGTTCGATTCGGTTCAACACCAACGTTAGCGGAGGTGGTACTCCCAAAGCGGGCAGCAAAGTCAAGAAAACCTACGCCTTCAACTTCGAGTTGGACGTCAGCATCGACGCCGATGTGATCGTCAATGTCCATCGGAGGAAGAAGAAGGCGGGCGAAGCTTCCGCTCCGGAATCATCTCCAGCGCCGCGAAGAAGATCTATATCCGCTTCACCTTCGCCAGTCGTTCATAAGCGTCCCCGGCGACAGAACGCGTCTTACAACCAAGACAGCAGCCCTAACGTACCCAGTGACAACGATAGTATCATTTCGCTCAACACAACCGAAGCCTCGGTGCAGCCGGACGACGATACCATTCCGAACAGTGATCCAAACACGCCGCAGCCGCGCTATCACGCGTCCCGTTCCATTGTGAACACTCCACAGCAGAAGGGGACGATCGAGCGGAACAATGCTCGGACCCGAGCTGGCGAGTACAAGGGCAAGAAGGCCAAATCTTGAACGGGGGACAAGGACAAACATGGTAAGGCTTTTCTTTCCTTCCATTCGGTAGTAGCCGCCAAACGAAATTTTTCTCTTAACAATACATAATTATAAAAACATCGTATGTGTCGCGTATTTAGTGTTTAATGTTGATAAGTTGTTTTTGCGATCAATAAAAGCAGAAGAGGCCTATTCTGCGCCTCTGAGTTGATGCCACTGTGTATTGACAATTACTCAACAAGATGTGTTGTTACGCGTTTCAATAATTTCGAAAGTCATTTTAATTTCACTGTTTAATGTCGTAAACAATTACTTTTGTTTACATCCCTCTGATACCCAACAACGATCAAGGGTTCCCTTCACCGCTCACTTCTAAAATAAACTTGAAATAGACATTAGTACCAATATTTCATAACAAACCCGCATAAACGCAAACCATAACTTGACCTTACTGAAAATGGTTAAAAAATGTTTATAATCCCTGCTAAACTTTAACTGAAATGGTTATGGTTCTTTGGAAGTGAACCTTACAAATAATGGGTTGTAAAGAACCATTGTCATTCAAAATAGTTGTCTTCTCCATACATGTATTCGGAGAGAGGACTATATTAGAACCTTTTTACTTATGGTTTGAGAACTTTAATGGTAATGGTTATGGTAGTCAGTAAGGTCCATTCATGGTTTTGTATTATCGGTCAACTTTACGTGGAATATATCGCGAATTGGTAATCAGTAATTTACAGGCAACCAATTCGCGATATATTCCACATAAAGTTGATCGATGTTACAAAACCATCTATGAACCTTACCGACTACCATAACTATTTCCATTAAAGTTCTCAAATCATAAATAAAATGGTTCCTTTACCAACAATTTATGGAGAAAACAAGAATTTAGCATGGTAATGGTTCTTAACAACCTATCAATTGTAAGGTTCACTTCCAAAAAACCATAATACATAAGGTTAAAATTTTATCACACAAACGTTCATGTAAAGTTCCATAACCACTTCAGTTAAAGTTTAGCAGGGATTATAAACAATTTTTAGCCATTTTCGGTAAAGTTAAGTAATGGTCCGCATTTATGCGGGTAGGCGAGTGTTTAATCAGTATCTAATACCTTAATAACTTACAAGCCATTCCCGGTTCATGAGTTGATGGGTCGATAGGTAAGGTCCAGGTGTGGGAGTGGGAGCAGGCCAATGGGTACAGAGAGAGGTGAAGCAGATCGTGAAATATGGTTGTATTAGTAATACAAAAAATCAACGGAAACGCAATTAGTGACGTCATTAATTGCTTGTATCGTACAGGGGTTTTACTCACACAACTTAACCGAATGCTTCACCTCGGTAATCCAGCTCATTGGGAGCAGGCGTCGGTAGCATTGGTGCTCAGCACGTAAAACAAGATCAAGAGAAAAAATACTCTAATCGAAATTGGACATCACCAGCAAGGGGGGGAGGTGACTGTCAAATACGAACAATCGTCGCTTAGCTCGCATAACTGGTTTCAAACGACAACAGGCAACGACGGTTTGTAGATGTTTTTTTTTTTTTCTTTCCTTTATTTAACGTCGGTCTCTGTTCCGCAATCTAGTGCCAATCACCGACGGACATCGATTGCCATCCATTGACGGCAATCGAATGTGCAAGAAGGCAGCTTCCACACCTGCGTAGGATATCGCACCCATTCAACACACATGGGCCGGGACCAACGGCTTTACTTCCCTTCCGAAGGAAGACGTGACCAGAGATTTTTATGCCTCAGAAAAATCCCTCCGACCTCGGCTAGGATTGAACCCAGACCCATTGGGAAAGCAGTCACGCTTACCACTACACCACCGGCGTCGGCTGGTTTGTAGATGTTTGTGTGTGTGTGTGTGTGTGTGTGTATTCAATCTAACCCCCACTGGCCGGCAGTGTTATTATGGAAGAACTCTCTCTACAATGTCGCATTTATGGTCATTGTAGACAGCTTTAGTCCGGGAGTTAGAAGGTGATAGCTCTATTGCAGATCCAGCAACCCATTTCAGAATGTCTGGAGAGTCACGCCCATTCCGAGGTTACTTTCACTTACAATAAGCCCCGCATGTATGCATCACCGTTATCAAATGGATATTGGTATTACATACACGCTTCCAGGTTTGAAAATATATTTTTTCAAACCTGGCATGTATTTAGTTTATTTTTGATATATTTTTTTTTTAATTGGAAAGCTCTCACCATATTCTGCTCTTCCGCCGTCGTTGATTACTTCTTTTGGAATCCCTTGGACTTTTTCTCTAACGCTTCGTATTTCATTCCGTGCTTCACCGGCAATTTCCTTCCGTAGATTGTCCTTGGTTGGTTCTAAAATGATTCCGCCTTTTTTGGTCGGCTTCATTGAATTGAATTGAATTTCCATGGTGATCTGGGACGAGGCTCACGTCCAAAGTCGCTGTTCCACCAAGCGCTCCGTGTGCGAAAAGAGAATGAAAGAAATACGAAAGGGATCAGTTTCAAGAAGTGACAGTTTCATCAGATTCCCCAACTAACCATAGTCAAGCAAAGTAAGAATATACAAGCTATATTGCGACTATATGGTTACTTGGGTACTCATATGGCCGTCAGAATGGTTCATCGGTTGCGAAGTGAATATTTCTGAAAGTGATGCGTTATATTTCTCAATGTTTTGATTTTATCCTAACGTTACCTCCATGTTATATCACAGACAAGCAGACACAACACATTGAACATTTATCATTGTAAACCCTACCGCCATCTGTCGTACACGAAACGAAAATCAATTATTTTATTCATGTGTTTAACTTATACATTTTTGCCAAAAGATCAGCCTTATACATTCCATAAGGCAAACCAAATAGGTCCTACAAGAGTGCATAAAAGGTATGTGTGACCGCTTATACATTTCATTTGACACATGAGCTTCATTAACTTTTTGCAAAGCGTCTGCTTATTAGTTGACTTATACATTTTATGAATAATCAGCAATAGAAATTTGCCAAAAGGTATAAGGAAATTTCTATCCGTGTATATACTTTGATGGGCAATACACTCAACAGATGGTTGTAGTGTGTAAACGTCAAACGCTAGGGAATTGATTATGTGCACCACAGGTGGCGGTACTACCAACTAAGAAACGTTTAAATTGACCGTTAAAAACGATTTCGATGAAGGTTTTAAGAATGTTATGTCTGCTTTTCTGTGATAATACCTTCACTATCGCAACTTCGGGTAATCTGCGAAAGTATTTGCATTTTTCTCAGGCACTTTTGATCTAACTGCAATTACTCTCTCATACTCGAAATGTGCCACGACCAAATTGGCACAACGACGCCCTAACGCTCTCTGACCGAAGCACAGGGGCTGGTTTGTAGATGTTTGGAGCAAAATTCACATATGGAAAATCCATGAGTGTAAGCAGGTGAGGGTCATTGAATTTTTCGTCTCTTTCGTTCTCCGTCTGTTGAAATGGGTGACAGAGTTTGACGTCACACTCTTTTAACCATTTAAACAGCAGGAGAACGAAAGAGACGACACATTCAGTGGACCTTACCTATTTATACATCTCATTGATGGATGATCAGTAGGCCGATTTGACAGCACATCCCGCCCCTGATCACCTGATGAATGAGAAACGTCATCTCAAATATAAGGGCCGTTCAAAAATAATGAGACTATTTGAAAGGGACCGGGGCTAATCACAAATAACGTCTGACGGTAACTTAAATAAATACGAGTGTTGACCGGTTGCTTGAATCGCGCAGGAATACGTTTTTGACGTCGTTTGTGATTTCTATATGGGGGTACACTTTGTGAAAACCCAAAATGGAATATGCAACCAAATTATGAAAGAATTTGAACGTTAATAACTCAGTTGCCCCTGAACCAATTTCAATAATTTTATCACCAATCGGTCAGATATATTTCTACGCATCTGATAAATTTAAGACTATACCATTTTTCAAAATTTTACTATTTAAATTTGCACGAATGTGCAACTGTTGCTTTGATAGTTAAAATGATCAACAATTGCCAGCGAAAAGGGATTTACCTAACACAGATTTCAAAGTTGAATTCCATTCGGTCTCACCAAACAGCAAGAAGCTAGCTACCGAGGCTCGCCTCAACCGCTGATCGGATTCAGTTCCAATCACCGTGTGTGGTGGTGTTCGGTCGTCGGTATCAGCTGCAGCAGCAGCAGTGCTTTCCGCGCGTGGCGTTGAACATTGTTCTCCAGTACACAACGAAAGGCTGCCTGCAAGCAGTGAGTTGCAGCCCACATGAGCATCGATATAAGAGCAACCGTAACGGTACGCTGCTAAACTCATTTTAGCAGCCCTCATCATAGCGCAGCTACCGTATCGGGGGTTGCCATACGAGTAACTAAAATAGCAGTCGGCTTCTCGGTGAGAAGCGCGCTACCAAATTTAGCAGCGCGGGAGAAAGGTTGCTATCGTCAAAATGCTCACTACCGGTACGGACAAAGGCGAGTAAATTGATAACCGCGATAGCAGCGACCGGTGTGGAGAAGAGTGACTAAACTAAAATGAGAGCGCTGTGCGCTGTTAAAATAGTCGCGCAAATGACAACGACCGCTACGGTTGCTCTAAGGAGGAAGAAGCCGTACCGCTATTGATCGGAATCAGTAGCTCTTCGTGAGTCGCTGTGGGCCATCTATACCAAGCGCGTCACCCACATTCCAAACAACATTCAGCTCACCAGCCTCATCTGTTTTTAACACCCTAATAGCTCAGCATTACTCAACCATCACGACAAAACGGTCCACTTCAGGACCACCATAAATTTGTAAAAGAGTATTTTTTGGACGTTTGTCAAGGTCATCAATCGGATGTTCGTTCCCATATTAAGATAGAGCTGGAATTAGGGCGTGTCAGTTTTTGCAAACAATGACTTGCCAGAATCCAAGCGACAGTTACAGTAGCGCTGCGCTTGAGTGAAGGTGGAACCAACATAAAGAAAAATGAGCAAATACACAAACCTTTCTTCTGAGGATGTAATCTTTGCTATCAAATTCGTTCGAAGCATTTACCTTTGAGCGGCAGATGACGCGATTGTACCTGTCTCATAGCAGTGTACGAGAAAATGGAAGAGTTGCCAGTCTTTTTGATATGTCGTCTTCGATATTAATCTAATGTTTAAACGTTACATGGCTTCGAATTCTTATTTGTAGAGCCATATCGGATCTGAGTGACAAAAAGCAAT